TAGAAGGTGGGTGAGCCACTTAGGTAAGACATGAGGCAAAGGCTGGAGCATGCGAGCGAGTCACAGCAGTCACAGTCAAAGCTGACCACAAGGCCCTGTTTGAGCTAATTCAATTTGTCCGTAGACAGCATGTGAGCATCAGTTGTGGCGCGTCAACCCAGTCAAATAATTCCCTTGACAAATTCGCATCTATCCTTCTACGCAGTTTTTAACTTTCTCATTATGGATGTTTTGATTTCTTGCCTCAAAAAGCTTCTAAACTACTCGAAGTTATCCAAGTGTTGAAAGACAAGAGAATCAGTAAGAAGTGAAGTATAACTGCATGGCACAAATGACCATTAGTCGAAATATATGTACTGCATATCCAGTGCCCGATGAACAATTGAAAGGGTACCAATGAAAAGCGAGTAAAGTGGAATGGAATTTCATGAAAAGTATTTGCAAAACTGACAGCCCACGAAGAAGTAATCTATCACACCTTAGGTGAGAACCACCTTCACGTTTTATCTAATTCGTCGCTCATCGCGCGTGAGAGGAGAAAATCAATAATGGTGCACAGCCCAGACGATTATTTCAGTAACTTTTTCGCTCCCCACCCCCGATGTTGCCCATTCAGTGATTCCGCATTTCCCTGTCTCGTTCCGCAGAACTGAACACGCATTTAGCGGCACATTCGCACGGTGAAACCGGAAACTAGATGGGATGTTGTGTACGAGTTTTGTCCAAAGCAGATTTTTTCGAGGATTAGGGCTGTAGTGCTCGTAATTCTATAGAGGCAGATTTTTGCAGTAGTAGTACGCTTAGATCTGCCATCCATACGAGCGACCTTCAGTAGAGAAAGCTAGGAAAGCCACAGCGATGAGCTAGAGCAGATTCTCCTTTCGAAAGCACCTAGCACGGGGCACTGTGACTGTTTCATCCGCGCCAGGAAGGCTTGCTCCGAAATATGCAAAGTTACCAGCGCGCTGAACCTTTTGTAAGAGCAAACAATGAAAAACAGTACTAATTTTAAAACTGTTGTATTTTGAATGTTGGGGCAGTCGGATGAAAGACTAATCGCTTGGCAGCTTTTCGGAATGCACCAGTACAGAATCATGACATATGAAGCGATTTGGCCGAATCGTAGGGATGAGTCAATGTAAAAGTCAGCAACTTCCTTTTTAGACGATTCCGATATTAATAGGCCAACTGGAAAGGGTTGAAGGATTATCAGCACCTGGACGGACGAATTTGGCCAGTGATCTACAGACTTCCAGCTCGGCAGCTGCGCAACTACTTCGCAGTCAGTGGTCACCTGAACTTATCCAGAAGACGGCTACCATTGAAAACTAGAACGTTTCAGCTGATTTAGTTTTTGAAGCCTCCTCAGTAACAATTGGTATGCACTTTCAAAATAGTACACATATAAGTACTGTTGAACTTGAGATAAGACTTGTAACCCATTGTCTAGAGTGCATGCTATCACCCTAACGTGACGCGATGACTCACTACGGGTTTTAGGATGAGTTGACTTTTTCAAGAAAAAGTGGTAGACTTTGAAATTAATTCTGAAAACTGAGCTTTGAAACATACATTATGCGTGAATCTAAGGCGCTAGCTAGCGGTACAGCTACACCATCAGCTGGTCCGAGTTCGACTTCCTCGAAGCGATCCGTCACCACTCGCTGCTAAAATTCTACATATACAGTAATGCATGAATAAGAATGCACGGTAGACTGAAAGAAAAAGGAAATCTATAAAAACCCTCGAAAACACTGAAGTTATGAGCCTCAATTTTTCGAAAGGTCAGCTGTGATATGATGAAGATATACATCGCGCAGAGAAGCGAGAGCACGCAAATAGCACGCGGTGCGATAAGGCGAAGTTACGCGACCGCTGCACAGCTTTTAACCCTTTGACGACCGTGTGGCCCGCCGGTGGGCCACACTTTCGCTCGGTGGCGACACGTTTTTAGGGGTTTATTTTGGCATTTTTTTGTTTCAAAACTACACAAATACATTATCGAATTCGCGGAATAATGCGCTAATTACTAATAGTGAAATTGTTGGAGAGTTAATGATTATTGATGAAAAAATTTAGAAAGAAGTGAAGTGACGCATTCATAACGGCGGTCGTCAAAGGGTTAATAGGAGTGCCACTCAGGACCACTAATCGGATAATTGTTGAGGCCCTGAAGTCTTTGTCACACATTTTGTAGCAACTTCAACAGCGCATCAGTAACCTTTGCATACAGCTCTACCCTTCCCACCACACGGATTACTACATCGTTCACTCCCGGGGGTGCCTTTGAGATATCCTGTCTACCAGCTATTGACTTACGCAAATCAAAGCAGTGAAAACAAACCGTTTGGTGATTGTATTGTAAAACACGAAAACAAGGAAATGATTCCGGTGCTCGTCAACATACAACTCGTACACCACTTAGCAAACAGTATTCCGACCCCGGTGTCAAAACACCGCTAAATATAGTGGTGCAAATGGAAACGCTTCCAGGAGATAGCTGATTTCACGCTGGTGGCATGTTCAAGCGCTGTGACAAGAAAGTTATCAACATGACTCCCTTTAATTCTCACCGCAGAAAAAAATGCGTGAACCTCTTGAGAAAGCCTTTAAGACACCGAGGATGGTGCGGGACACATAAGTCCCGCACTTCCGAGAAAGATGTGATTAAATTTTGCCTCCATTTCCATTGCAAAACTGACGCTATGTACATTACCGGCTACGGAAAAAACAGGTTTATCAGGAATAATGAAGTTCTCGATGAATTAAAAAGGATGAACGAAAAATCGTAAAAAAAAATGGGTAGCTGCCCACATAACGAATGCCGAAAACGTGTTGAATTTCCTTTCCTCTACACCCATCCAAAAATGATTTTTAATGCCGACCTTCCCATCCACTCCCGCACCCCTAAATAGGACCCTAACATCGAAGAAGAACTAATAACGACTGCCACCAAAATGCACTTACTTGGAAGTCGGCCAATCGATCTCTCATCTGTCAACGGTCACTGAAAACAGTTTCGATAAATTCAAGCAGTAAGCACGAATCTGAAGCGCTTGAGGAGCAGGCAAAACATGAATATTTCACCGAGAATTTCAAATTTACACTCAAGGAGTTCTTCAAAACGTTAAAATATTTAAATATCTTGTAGGCAAAGATCTCATACAACGTTATGTACAGGTTTGAGATTCCTAAGGAACTTAATGGCCAGAGAACTTCAATACGAATAGCGACTTCAGCGATTTCAGTCGATAGCACTGTGTACAAGGAGCAACTTCATGAAAACGAAATTTTTTCAGCGAAAATAAAAACTGGTTTGACATCATCACCAACCTGTCATGTAATTAACAAAGGTCTCACTAAGAAGTTCGCAAAACACCGCAGAGGAGCAAAAAGAAATCTACAAAGTTCAGGGTCGTACCAATGAGTAAGACAAGGTAACTTGTATAAAGCGAATCCATGAGAGCTAACAAATGCAAGAGAACGAGTAGGTCCTTTCAATAAGGAGGGGGCATTTTGGTGCATCAGTTCGTGACGACTATAGAGGTCCTAATTATGACACGGGAACAAACTCCTGGGTGAGTGAATTGGTTAACTTGTGTAGAGGGAAACGAGGTGAGCATTACCTTTTTTAATCCTCACAATGAAAAAAAGGTGCTCATATGACATCTAAAAGCTCTCGGTGCTCTGCACCAAAATGCATCACCCCCCCCCCCAAAACCCCTCCCCTCACCTTTACTGGTATGGACCCTGGGACACCCAAAGCAAATGTGACCAAATGAAAAACTTTCTACACTTCTACTAAATGGTCTCAGGGCTCTTCTCTTAAAGGAATCTTCCACGGAAAAAGCTCCGCCCTCATTACCACAGAAAACGATACCTTAAAGGAATCTTCCACGGAAAGAGTGATCATTTTGTCTTGTGTGTAGGATTAGTATTATCGAAACTAACGCTTATGTTCCGTTCTTTTTGCTATGCTCATGAGGCTAGGGGCCTAAGGTATCGTTTTTCTGTGGAAGATTCCTTTAACAATGAGGTTAGACAATTCAGCATTTTGTAGTGTTGTCTGGGAACTCTCACAAATGCACACTATTGGGTCATTTCTGCTTTCCTTATTTTTCTTAGAAGGCTTAATGGCGCTCATCCAGTAAGGGGGGCATCAAGTGGCTGCCCTCACCCCCCACCCCCTAGACTGCCTACACTCCCCCTGGCGCACAGGTTTCTCGAAGTACGGGACCCCGTGAGCCAGGGGGAGTGAAGCCAGTTCAGGGGGTGGGGGTGAGGGCAGCTTTTGACGTTGCATCACAATGCCCCCCCCCTTACCGGATGAGCGCCGGCTTAGTTTTAGTACCACACAGAACGTATGCTTTTCCATCCGCAGACTCACCCTTTTGTTTAACAGAAGCCTTGCAGCCTTACTGATTATTGGGGAATCATTACAAGTTTATCTAGTATATGAATAAACCATCTTCTCCTTAAGGAGACAGAGGCATGAAAAGAGGTGTCTCAGCTCCTCATTAACAATTGTGTGAGTTTAAGAGACGATTGAAGCAGGAACATGAACCAAAACAATTTAAAAAATAAAAAATTCGTCCATGCGAAGGGTGCGAAGGCAGAAATTATTTAAAAAGCAAAAAATAAAAGAAATGGATGACGTCAATAATGCGAAAACGCTGCAAATGAATAATTTTTATGGCGGATGGGGCGAATAAGTGTTCAAGGACGCCCTTGATGATCTAGTAAAACCCAAATTTCAGAAGCTCATACTCCAATAAATAGCGCGTGCATGGCAATGTACTTTGAAGTGAAAAAACCGTAATTGGTGATTCTGGGAGAGATGAGCCCAGTGCGGGTGGGTGGCAGGTGAGTGATGGTTGCTCGTCGGGGTTGAGTCAGAGAGCCAGCTCGTTTCGCAATACGCCAGTCATAATGCAGGTATTTGTATGGCGATCAATACGAGGCCCAGGTGTGCGCTAAGGCATTGCATAGGCCGATTTAGGTGGCCTGAATAACACGATGATAATAAAGAAGTCGGGAATAAATAAAAAGATTCAGCATTGGCGTGGTAGTCAGCTGGGTGATAAGAGACCGGGACTGCTTTCTCTGCGATGAGTCAGGCTCTGAGTCGGATCTGGTGTCAGCGTTATCATCAGAACAAAGGAAGCCGCACTTCTGAATGTGCCAAGAACACATGTGTCTTAGCGATGGAAAAAGTCGCCAAGTAGCCTCGCCGGGGCTGCGTTACCGTAGCACTTGACACCTTTGAAGTGGTCGTTCTACAGATCCCATCAGAATGCGCACGGTGAGAGACTAGTCCCGAAAAACAAGTTGTTCACATGGGTTTGAATTGAAATCGCCAAAGCCGATTAGGTCGTCAGAATCGACGAAAAAATACGGGTGTTGACGTCGATCAGATTGCAGGATTATTTTATACCGTACGAATGGAGTAGTACCCAAAGATAGGGTTTATTCTGACATCTCCTAGCAAACTTATGAATTCACCTCAAACATCATAACGCTTACTGGTCCCTCTCCAACCTCCGCATTTTGATGGCACATTTTTTGAACGCATGACTGGTGGATGATCGTTTAAGGAGGATTCCACGATAAGGTCGAAGGTCGAAGAAAGGGAAGGTTAACTAGCGGAAAGACAGGATGCAGACCGACACGCAATTCGCAGCGAAGGATATGCCCTGCGACCTAGCATGGCAGTTCTCGCGGCGCTATCGACGCGGCACGCCCACCGACTGGCCAATCACTCGCCGTCTTACCGTTTAGCAGAGAGAGAGAGCGTTACCATTTTGAGAATTATTGCCAATCAAGGGGAAACCAGCAGGCAGGAAGGGGTCCAATTTCTTGTGTTGTGGGCCATTACTCATGGTTTTTTCTTCATCCCGGCACCTCTAATTCTTCTACCTACATTTTAATGGGCTGCTCTGATCTAGGAAACTACGCCTCTAGGAAAAGAGCAAGGTTCCCTATTCAGAAAACCCATAGCGAAGGATGTGCATGAATTATGCCGACTTTACAGGGGGATACAGGCGGGAGAGGATGGGGGGGGGGGGCAAAATAAGAGCTACTACCCATCAACTTCAAAACGGAACTTGTTACACTTTTTACAGTTTTGGGAACTGAAAAGCTTATTCCAATTTATCAAAAATGCCCCGCAACAGTACCGCAGTTTTCAGAGGAATTTTCCGCGGAGAACGTAGTGCAACTTTGAGCTCAACGAGGTCCTCAACGGATAGCAGACCATCAAGACGATATCTAAAAAGCTGGTCGGTAGAGGTTTTGCATATGCCGAGCTACAGTCTTTAGAAAGCTATCCACCAGTAGACCAATTGAAGAAATTATCTAGGGAATGGTCTGCCACGAAATTTTGATCAATTGCTACACCCTTCGTAACGGAAAGTTTGTTGACTTGAGCCATGGACATATTTCACCCCCCCCCCTCACGTGCACATGACAGAGCCTTCCTGATTGATGTATTAATACCATCGCTAGACCAAGCGAAAAAGTATTTCACTCAAGCCGCATCCGTCCGAGCGACAAAAAAGTGAGCCGCACCGTCGAGTCGCAATGCAGCTGATGTGGCTATTTCACTAAGAACCCAAGTATCCGAGAGTTGGTTGAGATTGTTGAAAAAAATAACCAGTCGGAATACAACTTGAACAAGTACAGATAAGCGATTTGAACACCAGATGCCCCCAAGCTCTCGAGGGTCAAACCCGAATGAACACAAGTTCAATACCACAGCAATTCACAGGGCTCCCAATGCAAACAAAATGTGTACCTGATTCGAGGGAGAAACCTGTTTCCCTCCAAGTCACAATTCCAAATGGACACGTCCGGCTGGGCTTCTTTCAAGGTCAACGCGCTGAGAATTACAGGCTAATCTGTAAAAGTTCAAGAGAGGCAAATCCACGGTTTCTGGAGATACGGCACCGAAATGAAGCTTGAGCACTGCAGCAGCAGCGAAAGCCATTAACAAGGTATTTGCTCTTTCACTTTGGATCTAAAACACAAACAGCTTACGAAAAATAAACTTATGCTAAGAAGGTGAACTGGTGAATATGAGAACAGTGATTAAAGGCAGTGGTCACGATTACTGGAGGGCGGTGCTTCTTGATGACGTCACTGAAGATCATTGGTGGACAAAACCCTTTAGCGCACGGGAGATATGGTTGGGACCGCTTCTTAAAGTCTTACCACCGATGACCTTCAATGACGTCATCAGACTGCAACGCCCTTGCCATCGTGATCA